GATGATGGTAGACCTTACAATTGAAAGCTACTTATATATAGCTAGGTACAGCTGATCACACTTGGGCACATTGCCAGTGATGGCAGCTTTTGCAATTGGAAGCTGCCAATATATAGCTAGCCATAGTTGGTACATTTGATAATAACAGCATCACTGTGCTAGGTAGATCACAGCTTACTACCATGGGTCTGCCAATATGACGGCCTACGGGGAATCCCACCTATGTAGTCTACCCATCTACTCCTTTGTCAAGTTTTCTGCAATTTAATAAAGCTTTGCTATGTATCATCAAATATTTGATGATGGTAGACCTTATAATTGAAAGCTACTTATATATAGCTAGGTACAGCTGATCACACTTGGGCACATTGCCAGTGATGGCAGCTTTTGCAATTGGAAGCTGCCAATGTATAGCTAGTCATAGTTGGTACATTTGATAATAACAGTATCAATATGCTAGGTAGATCACAACTTACTATCAGAAGTGTGCCAATATGATGGCCTTGGGAGAATCTGCCTACGTAGTCTACCTATTTATTCCTTTATCAAGTGGTCTGCAATTGTGATAAATATTTTTAACATTATATATCAGATAAAGTTAGGTAAAGCCTTGTTATACTCTGGTCAAATGCCTGATGCATGCATGCAATGGGCCACGAGGCTCGGTTGATGGACATTTAAGTCAGGCATGATACAAAAAAATTGATTTACCCTTCAAAAATAACCCATACCATGGGTGAAGGGTGTTCTTATGCTAGCCATCTTGCATTTCTTCACGATGGGAGGAACCACATGCCTGTCATACCGGAAGACTGGGCATTGTATACCACCCATGTGGCCAGCAAGTGGGTGGAGCAGCAATTTCTTGCCCATGTATCTGGATGACCATTGGTCAACCCGCCGGCTGGTTTGGACCTACTGACCTTGCTGTCTTGTGGGCACCTAGCCTTCCTCATGGCTGAGGCCTATCAACACCCAAGTAAGTGACACTAAATTGTGTTCTCAACATCTACACTCACATTTCCATCTGGATGAAGTCAAACTGGATATTGATATTATTTAGTACAACGAGGCCCTAGCCAAACAGGAATTGGGGATGAATGATGCCCAAGAGGATGCCTTGTTGGTGAGATTTCCTCCAGCCGAAAATATCTTGTTGGACTGCCCTTCGGTGGTCATTGACTCCAGATACAGGATTATTCTTTGGTATATACCGGATGCTTTGACACTGTGGGTGCAGGTGAGTTCCTCGGCTGACACTTGCAGCTCTGAATGACTATTCTTTTCATAGAATGAAATGTTTTTAGTGACCCTTTCCATAGGTGATCTGTTGAAAAAGAGCATCACAAATGGCAAGTCAGGTGGTTGGAGAACCCACAGGACAAATTTCTACTAGACAGAAACTCTGGAATTGACACCCAGCTGCATCAACATCGTGCCATGTTGGTTCCAGCAAGGACATGAGGTGGGTCTCCGTGGCTCTGGCTCCATGTGATACTCAATACAATGCAGTGCTATGGCCCGCCTCCCGAGAATCTGGATGATAGATTCAAACCCGAGGTTTCTGCAACATTGAAGGGCGATAGGAGCCTGGCAATGATAACCGCAATGCAAAGACTGGCCTTGCTAGCTTCTGCTGCCTTACATGTCATGCATCAGGAAAACCTGTTTTGTGCTAGAGAGCTTTATAGATAGGTTCCAAAATGGGCCTAACTATAACAGCTTTAGTTGCTATAGTGCTCTCTATAGAGCTTTATAGCAACAGACCATTTTATTCCCAGCTTTAACAACTTTAATAAATATAAGATCTATTATTCAACTCATTTTTCAGATGCCATTATGTTTGGAAGATTAAATTTGTTTGGTGCATAGTAACGCCTCCTAATACAGTGTTTTGTATGCATACTTGGTGGACCAATTATTTAATAAGAACCTGTCACAGAGATCCAGTACATTTTCTGATCTCCATTCTCTGGAAACATCAGCAGTACCAAAACAAGGAATTAGCTGACAAGTCTGACATATGGTGCTGATAGGAATGATATCTGCTGGTACTACATTACCGCTCCTTAGTGGCATCTTCTTCACCTCATACATACAGTGTTCTTTCTCTGGCACATTTTTGAGCATAGTATACCACTAGATGTAGGCCAAGGGTTCTATTGGCCAGTACTCTGGGGAGGCAAAGGTGCCATAGACTTGTTGGGGTAGCTTGAACAATAACCTAAGTCGCCCGATTCTTGTATCTGTATTCTCTAAAAACATCCAAGGTAAAAAAAGATATGATCAACTTGCCTTGAACCCCAGTAGCTTGGCACTCATCCGTCCTCATGGCCACAACTGTATCAAAGTGTTTCTGACCATGGGAACCATGAGTCTTTGGACAGGCCTTTATCCAGTCAGTTTGTCTACTACTGTCAACTTCATCCTCCCCTAGTTCCTCCAAAACAAACTTGAAACCATGGTATATGTCAAGCTTGTCAAATGGAAGCTGAGTCATCTCCAATCTATTGCATCCAAATCCTTCACCTATAGCCCTTCTCCTACATTGATTGAGATAATTTTTGAGGTTCTGTACCAGTCCAGGGCAGTGATGGGACTCCATGATACTCTGTAGTGATTGACCAGAACTATGTGGCTTTTTTGGTAGCAATATGTGAGGTGGGATATTAGCCTTGCCTGAGTTAAGATGTTGCCCTAGATTATCCAGGTATAGATGGAAAGATGACACCTGTTCATATCATTCCAGCCACGAAGTCATTTGAGGGCACTCCTCCCTTTTATTAGTTGCCCTCCAGGCGTCCTTAGCAAAATCAATGTGAAGGCGCTCAAATGCCTCTGTATTGTAATTGTCCATGGCACCAAATAGGCGTATAGAGTTGATATAGTGGGTGAGGCTGTGTATTTTTGGAATATTGAAGTGGTCCCTTACGCCCAGTTCAATAAGCACCCCCTTATGCTTGTGAAACATGTCCAAAGCATCTTGAAGATAGCTTAGGGTTTGATCATCGTGAGTGGGGTACTGAGCTAAATAGATGAAGTCCAGTAAGGAGCGGTATGCAAGTATGACCTGTCGAGGAACTTTTCCCACTAAGCATCCCAATAAGATGCACACCATCTCTTTCCTCTCTCTACCAGAGATCTGAGAGAGCACAGTCCAACCATTCTGGAAATGGCAAACCTCAAAGCAGGGTGGGAGCACTCTAATCCTAGCATCTAATTCTGAGGGGTGCATGAAGTGTGCGCACAGTGTGTATAGCTTCTAGTAGGTCCCTGTATTGGACCATATGTCATTCCTCTGGATTGTCTGGAAAGGACAGGTAGGTGGTGTGCCAAAGCATGCGAGATGGAATAGTATTGATAATTTGATGCATAGCGTGAGTGTTGTAAAATGATAAGCCGAGCTTTTCAACCACCTGTTTGGAATTAAGCCGTGAGCACAATAAGTAAAGTGCACATGTTACTCACCCCTGGAATGGACAACAGGCGGTCAAGGGACTTATCCCCAATGCCTTCTTTGGTTGCCCACTCGGCTATCCTCCACTCAACCTCAGAAGCAAAGGGTGAATATTTTTGGGATGCAACACCCTCCATATCAACATCTCAGTCCCCATCAAATTGATGCAGGTCTCCAAGGATGTGCCTACACCAGCTCTCAACAAAGGTTTTGCCCTCCCTCACAATAGCACTGGCAGTTGGGTGCTCCACCACCACCCGCCGATCTTCATCAACATTTAGAACCCTCCTTGATGAACCTTGTGTGGGCTCTTCTGCCTGGGCCGAATCTGATCTTGAAGGTGCATGATCAGCAGGAGGCTGCACAGGTATGAGGTCAAACAACTCTTGGTTCCATGCTTCGTTAACATCCTCAGGATCGCATTCATCGACGCCTCCTTCATCCACGGGCATATCCTCCCCCTCCGCAACCAGAGTGTCTGGGATCACAGTACATTCAAATGTACCCAGATTCCCAAGATCCCTCAACTTTCCCTTATGATACCATAGGCACCCTTTTGTCTGTCCCATATGAGTAAGGAGGCCCTTCAAAGTCCTAAAGTTGTTTCTTCCGCATGTGGGGCAGGTACAGCTTTAAAGATCTTAGGCATAACTTGGGACCATGTGCATTGTGGTCATTATGCGTGAAACTGCCGAGTGTGAGAAATAGCGCAATGGTATTGCATGGTATACCTAGTAATCAAATTGGAAGAATCCAGAGGGCATCTGGTGTGAAGCTGCATACCAAAGAAAGTGGGGGAAACTCACAAAAATAATAATGGTCAGCTGCTGCTGGGGTATCCAGGAATGATCAGTTTGACCAGGGCAAGATGCTAAACAGAAACCACCAAGACCAAGGAAGAAATGGGAGATCACATGCTCTGCCTGGAAACAAATTCTCAATGGTAAATGGGCGCTGGCGATGGGGATGACATGTATCAGTGCAGGATTCGTAGTAAGTAAACGATTGCAAGGAGTATGTACAATACAACAAGATAGTATAAATTTCCTCTGCATGGCCTAGTGTGTGTCCAAGAGGTTCAAACTGATACAGTCAATAATACTTTTAAAAAGGAAGTTCAAAACAATGCCATAGCTTATACTTTTAGTTCTTTCTCCTCCCAGATGTCGATGCCTTACCTGGGACATAATCTTCATTGTCATTACAATGAGAACGCGAAGTGCCAGACTTCTTCCCTGCTGCAACGGACTTTTTCTTGCCACCATCGCTGGTGCGGGACTTCTTGATCCAGTCGTTGGTGATGGGCTTCTTGCCTCCGCGGGACTTCTTCCCCCCTTCATCGGCAAACGACTTCTTCTTATTGGCACGGAACTTCTTCCTTGCATGGTTATCGTCATCCTCGGGAGCCCTGCATTTGGAGGAACCAGCCATAATGTTGGAAGTGGGATCAACAACAGGATCAGTGACGGTGCTCTGCTCAGTAGGCAGGTTGCCAGTGGAAATGGTCGCAGGGGGACGAGCACAAGAGGTTTGCTTTATGACAGCTCTACTAGGAGGTTCGTTTATGGGTTCTGGCTGGACATCGCCCTCAGGAAGCTCACTCATTGCTGCCACAGCATTCAGCACGAAGGAGATCTTGAATATTTCGGTGCGCGTGTATGAAGCTGCATCAGTGGGTCTGAGGGCTAGCTTATCTTCTGTAATGCTCTTTGGGTTGATGTCATCACTGACCTCTGCTTCCAGGAGGGAGAAAAAGCTGGCATGTGATTCCTCCCATGGTGAGGAGGAGGCAACCTCTGTTATGGCTGGGGTGCCTCTATCTGAGTGTTCCTCTTCTTGTTGCACAATCTCAACCATTTCAGACAAAAACCCGATCATCTCCTCATATGTGATACCGTCGTCCAATATCTAAGAAAGAGCCCCTTCAGTAACATTTCCCGACTTAGTCAGACAGCCAAAGGTTGAGAATCAACCCAGTTAGGCGGGCCATCCAGCATGGGCCTATGCATGACTGAGCATGGATGGGCCCACACATAATTCAGCACCCATGTTGGTGGGTGGGCCAGGTGAGATTGATAGGATGAGTGGGCCAATTATCATGGGACACAGGTACCAGGCCTGACAGATAGGCCCAACAAGTTTTTCTTTGGCCCACACATGTCATCTTGGAAAGGTTGGCTAATTGTTTTCGGCCCAAAATAATATATACATATATGATCTCACAGGGGCCGACAGTTGCATGCATTTGATCACGGAAGGGCCAGCTGATCATATGTTGGCCAATACGATCTTGCTATGGACTGACGGTTGCATACATATGATTTCAGGTCAGTAACATTGGCCCAAGGTGATGGGCGCATTTGATCTCGGATGGGCCAGCCAATCATTTTTTGGCCTATATGATTTTGCTACAGGCCGACAGTTTGGTGCATGTATTGAATCTTGGAAGGGCCAGCCACATGTCGGCCCGAGGGAATAGGTGGGCTCATTTAATCTTGAAAGGGCCAGCCAATCATGTTTTGGCCAATATGGTCTTGCTATGGGCCAACAGTTGAGCGCATTTGATCTCGGAAGGGCCAACCATATGTCAGGCCGAGGCAATAGGTGGGTGCATTGAATCTCGGGGGGCCAGCATATCATGTTCTGGCCAATATGGTCTTGCTATGGGCTGACGGTTGAGCGTATTTCATCTCAGAAGGGCCAGCAATATGTCAGGCCAAGGCAATAGGTGGGTGCATTTAATCTCGGAAGGGCCAGCATATCATGTTCTGGCCAATATGGTCTTGCTATGGGCCGACAGTTGAGCGTATTTCATCTCAGAAGGGCCAGCAATATGTCAGGCTGAGGCAATAGGTGGGTGCATTTAATCTCAGAAGGGCCAGCATATCATGTTCCAGTCAATATGGTCTCGCTATGGGCTGACAGTTGAGCACATTTGATCTCGGAAGGGCCAGCCATGTGTCGGCCCAAGGCAATGGGGTGTATGATTTCGGAACAACCAGCTGACTATTTTTGGCCCAAGAAAATATAGGAAGAACATGGTTGGCCTATAGTTATTTCGACCCAAGATGATGCAAAGGTGATCTCAGCAGGGCAGTTTCATGTGCATTTTCAGGACTGCCAGTCCAGCCCAGTGAGTTGTACGCAACAGTATGAATGCAGATCTCGGAATGGCTGACAGTTAATCATACTCGCAGTAGAACACCCAATTAAGCTCGGAAGGACTTACGGAGCGATGTTGGGGGCAAGAAATATGTATTCAGCACTGGCAGAGCTGACAGCAGGGCTTAGCGTCAGATGAATATATATATGCGCATTATCATGTGATGTAGGATACTGTCATATCCCGTATTCCAGACCTATGTCTGATAATATTCCCACATCTCATCCGGACCTTCGGACACCTTATCCATGTCTCCAGTCCTCTACCCATCCGGATCCCTGCACCTCTGCACATCCACATCCACACATCCACATCCAGATCCCTTTACCTCCGTACATCAGACCTCCGTACCTCCACAGCTAGCCTGCTTCATTCATCCTTTGTCCTATCGCCCTAATGTCATACCCCATACATCCACGCATCTCGTCCGGACCATATACGATCTGGTCCGGTCTGGTCCGATCCAATATACGATAAGCTACTTAATTCATTTCCTGTGCATATAACGTTAACACAGCCTATCCAGTATTTCCTTGTTCCCGGTATCTCGGCTATACTTACTACCAGTATGCTTACTGATCCATTAACCTATGCTTCATTTCCGACTCACGTTTGACAACTTGACTTATGCTTCGTACATATGTAGCCTTGGACCTTTGCTTATTGATCTTTCCGATAGTCACTTAGTATATAAACTCTTGTATATGTCCTGTAGTTCCTCAGTCTGAATATCATATTAGTCCTTGCACTAGTCTTCACTCTAAGTCCTCATATCAGTTCTAGTCTTCCAACTTAGTTGTTATCCATCTCAGGCCTAGGGAGTTTCTCCCTAGGCCAGAGCTCTACTTATCCGATACTCCACTCATCTGCTCATCTGATCCTCCATAGTTTCCAGAAGTTCATCCGGATCTTTCCCACGGTCCTCCAGACCTATTCTGCTTCGGACTTTGTCCTTGCAGCCTTTCCTCTGTTTACTTCTACTCAGGACAAGTCCCAAGTAGCCATTATACATATCCGTATCAGGACAAAACCTCATTGTAATTTCCGGAACTTTCCTGCACTCATCCGGAAGTTACTTGCACCCGTCCGGAAAGTCCTTCCGAAGTTTCCCGCGCCTTCGGATGTCTTCGGACTTTCTTCGGACACCAATCCGAAATTAAGGGCACATACTTGGGTAAGGGGCGCAGCGCATGAGCTGAAGCCAAGCCCCTCAGAATCAGTCCTACCCTTTGTGCATGGTCTTAACAGATACAGGAGAATCTTGAATCTCGGAAGGTTGAAGGATGGCTTAGCTAGTTATAATTGGCGAAAGGAAATATAGATTTGATTACAGAAGGGATCGCTATTGGGTTCAGGTAGTGTTGTATGGCCAGAAGATCATACAGAAGGGCCAGCTTGTTATCTTGTAGCTCAAATGAACATACCTACAATTCCTGGAAAGGTTAGGAATAACGGAACTCGATTTTGGGGCTGGATATATCTGCGAAAGTTTAGGATAAGGTAACAGATGGAACAAAAATCGATAAATCTGATACTGGAAGGAGTTACAAATGGGCACATCGGATGTCCAATCGGTCCAGTAGACAATAACAGTTGAGCTGATCAAATATGGTGAGCGGCAGCTGAAAGCAGTTATTAAGGACATGAGTGTAAATCTAATTGCATCGAGCTCGCCTCTTCCGGAGTGTGGCGGAAGGGTAGTAGATGGGGTAAACATCCTTCAACCTGTATACTATTTGATTGAGAACATGTTACGCATAGCTATCACTCTGAGCAGGAAGTAGTGATGAACGGTTGCTGATATGGGGCCTGGTGAGTGCATGAATGGCTGAAGTGTAATATAAAGCAGGAACGGTATGTACCCATTTGTAACACATTCCAGTGTATCTATGTATCTCCTGGACCACATATTACAGTGACCTATCACCATATAATACGAGGGAACGGACGTGCATAATATCCCATATGATATGGGCCAGCGGACCATGGGCCCATGATAAAAATATCCTTGACTATGACGGATGGGCCGGGAGGCAAATTATTCCCGATGGAGGCGGGTGGGCCCATGCAGGGAATATATAGAGTAGATGAGTGGGCCGATGTACATGAATATTAGGTAGACGGGGATGGGTGGGCTGAGGTAGTTGGATATTATGCAGATGGGTGTATTAAGGTAGATGTGTATGAGATAGATGGGTAGGTACTTGTTATCACATTCACGGGTGGGCCCAGACACATATTAAATTAGACGGGTGGGCCAAGGGTATTATAAAATATTGTATTAGATGGGTGGGCTGAGGATGTTGTATTAGACGGGTGGGCCGAGAGTGGTATAAAATATAGATGGGTGGGCCCATGTGTATCATAATTGTAGACATGATGGAGCTGAGGTAGTTGTACATCAACCAAATCAGAGGAGGTAATAAATCAAAGTTACCAAGTTCCCGGAGCAGCAGGTGA